CAATAGGCCAATAGGAAAGGGGACCAGGAACTAGAGAAAAGTTAGATCAAAAAGTAGATCAATTAAATAATAAGAATTAAAGAAGGTAACCACACACTCACAGGAAATTAATGTGAGTCAATGCCCTGTATAGTATCCTTATCTAACCACAAAAACCCTTGTTCCTTCCTATTATTGCTTATACTCTCTCTCGCAAACAAAAATTAGAAATAAGGGCAAAATAGTTTCTGCTGGTATTGAGGGGTGGAGGGTAAGAGAGGGGCGGAGTGGTGGTAAGGGAGGGGTGGGGCAGGGGGAGAAATGAACCCAAGCCTTGTATGCACATATGAATAATAAAAAAAAAAAACCCCAAAAAGATAGTGTTGGGATTGTCATAATTTTGCTTGTTCTAATTAATGAATTTCTATTTTCAAGTTGCATAGTTATATTATAGAAAAAGTCCTATTATTTGAAGCGTACAAAATATAGCAAAGACAACCTATAAACCTGGATCCTAAAAAAATTAACAAATTTAAAGAACTGAATATAGAGTAAGTGCTCTGACCATAATAAGTGAGTCAAGCTATAATTTCATAAGAGAAACACAACAGGAAAACATTTAGAACTGGCTAAGCAGGAGTAGCAGTGTTACCTGTATTGGGCTACTCTAGAGACTTGAGGTTTGAGAACTCTTGAACCCATGAGTGTGAGGCCAGTTTTGGGCAATATAGTGAGAGACTTCATCTCAAAAAATGCAAAAAGTAAAGAATATATTAAATACACAAAGTATGTCTAAGTAATCTATGAATCAAAGAGGAAGTCTGAAGGAAAAACTTAACAGAAAAAAACTAAATGAAACTGAAATACAATAGATCAAAATCTGTAGGATAAAGCTAAAGCAGTGCTGACAAAACTGAATTACTGTAATAATTACATTAGGGAAAAAAAAGATTTATTCCAGTATTACAACATTGGTCCCATATTCTAAAATAAATTCAACATAATCCATCAAACAGCTAATGAAGACAAACTATATAATCACATCTCTTGACACAGAAGAGGCATTGCCAAAAGTCAACACCCGAAGATTGCAAAAATTCTCAGTCTAATAGGAAAAGAAAGGAATTTCCTCAATCTCATAAACAGCCCCTACAAAACATTCACAGCTAATATCTTATTTAATGATAGAAGTCTGAAGACTTTCCCTTTATAGTTGGGAACAAGGCAAAGATATCCACTCTCATCACCTTCTTTTTACCCACTGCAATAAGGCAATAAATGAAATTTTAAAAAAACAGATCAGAAAGGAAGAAATAAAACAGCCCCCACTACAAACAACATAAAGTCTACATATAAAACCTGAAGGATTATATTTTTAATAAAACAAAAACTCCTACAATTAGTAAGTTCAGCAAAATAATGGGACACAAGATTAACATACAAATAATAATTGCATTTATATGTACTGACAAAGAATAAATGAAAACTCTATACCATTAAAAAATTGCTCCAAAGGAAATGAAACACTATAAAGTTAGTGTAAAAATAAACTGTATAAATTTAGCAAAATTGTACGGGATCAATGTGATGAATCTTTTTAATCAAGAAGATCAAAATAATCAAGAGTGTACCCATATTCATGGACTAGAAGGGTATACTAAAATATATGTGGAAAGACAAAGCCCGCAGAATAGCTAGAACAATTTTGAAATAGTGAATTAAGTGAAACATGTGGTCACTCTTTTCAATATGAACATTTGCGATATACCTACAGTATTCAAGGTAGTCTGGCAGTGGTGGAGAGATAGACATGTAGTCAATGGGAACAGAACAGAGAATCTCCAATTAACTTTTTAAGAAGAACAAAAGCAATAGAAGAGAGATGGATAGTCTTTTCAGTAAGTGGAGCTGGAGTAATTGGACAGTCACAGGTTTATAAATGAACCTCCACCCACACCTCATGGGTACAAGAACTAACTCAAAATGGATCTTGAATTTAAATAAGTAAAACTATAAAATAAATTTAGGGGAAAAACCTTTGGGATCTAGGGCTAAACAATAAGCTCTGAGACTTTTTTTTAAAAAATGGAACTCTCTGAAAGGGGAGTTCCTCCAGCTGTGGCGACCCAAGAAAACACCCCGCTGCCTTAACTGCTCTTTCTGGCTCTAAAAGAGCTATTTTTTAAAGTACTGGGGCAAACAAAGCAACCACAAAAGAACTGATGTGTGTTTTAAAAAAAAATCCCAAAGAGAAACAAATAAATGGTGATTTTTATGTAGAAACTAAATAATCCTTAATAAATAAATCTCTATTTTGGAATCAAAAAAACCGAAAACTTTATAAACTAGACTGGGTGATAATATTTGCAGACTATATATATATATATATATCCAATAAAACCTTTATATCTAGAATATATAAAGAATCCTCAAAACTCAGCATTAAAAATTCAATCTGAAAATAAGCAAAAGTCAAGTACATGTATCTCAATGAAGGATATATACAGGTGTCAAGTAAATACATGGCGATGTGCAACACTACCATATAGGGAATGTAAACTGAAATCATAGTAAGATGTCAGGAACAGAATGAACAAACCCTTTCACAGATGGAACATGTGGACAGCTTTGACAGAGGGACCTTGGATGACAGTGACTGAGAGAAGACCAAAATAAGAAAACTCAAGAAATGAATGGGCTGCAAGAGGAAGATCCCTGGCTGCCCACACCATGTGACAGGACCTCTGTGCTCTTTTCATCTTTCTGAGTTTTACTTCTACAAGGATAGAAGCCAGGTTGAATTGATATTTTTATCAAGATGTTTTTAGATCTCAGGATGGGTGGTAGGAGAGAAGAAAAGATTTTCTGAATGGCTATTAATAATGATCATTAATAAATAGTAATAAATCTAATAGTAATAAATATAATTTTCAAGAAGGTTGTGCAATTTTTTTTAAAAAGGATAGACATCCCCTAGAGTAACAATGATATATTTTAAAAAACAAATTGGCCTGCTTTGCCAGTACAAAGCCATGAGTTCAAACCCCACTATCACCAAAATAAATAAATACATACAAGTTGGCACTGGAAAAGTATATTTTCAATGTTCAACATCACTAGTCATGAGGGACATGCAAATCAAACCACAATGAGATAACATGTCACCCTAGTCAGAGTGGTTATTATTGAAAAAGTAAAATAAATGCTGGGAAAGATGTGGAAAAAAGAAAACTCTCATACACTTTTGGTGGGAATATAAATAAATATAGACATTATGGAAAACAGTATGAAGTTTCCTCAAAAAAACTAAAACTAGACCTTCCATATGATCCAGCTATCCCACGTCAGTTTGTTGAAGAGTCATGTGGTCTCCCACATTTACTGTAGCACTACCCCAGAGAGCCAAGCTAAGAAACCAACCACGGTGTCTGTGAGCAGAATAACAGATAAAGAAAGTGTTGGACATATACACAGTGGAGAGCTAGTCAGTCATAAAAGAAATAACTCCTGCCATTTGTGGCAAAATGGGTGAAACTGGAGGACAGTAACTAAAACTAGCTAGGCTCCAAAAGACAAATATTGTATATACAGAAACTAAAACAGTCGATCTCAAAAAAGAAGAGAGTAGAATAATGATCCCTAGAGTCTAAGAAGGTTGTGGGGGACAGGGCCGGAAGGAGGCTAGATGAAAGTTCAAGATACAATTAGAAGGGAGAAATAGGCTCTAGAGCTCTACCACACAGTGTTACCTGGACCGTATGAAAATGAGACTTGTGATGTATAATAGCTTGGTGCGCTGAGGGTGCCCATCTGACTAACCCCAATAAAAACTCTGAGTCTCAAGCAGATTTCCCTGGGCAGAAACAAAGAGCACATATAATTGTCCCTTTCTTCTGTAGGAAGGGGTACAGTCTGTGCGGCTCCTCCCTAGAGAGGGGACCTTCCAGAAGACTGCCCCTGATTTTATCAAACCCACCACTTCCACAGCTGGATGGGCAACAGACCCTGCCCTACAGTGCAGCTGCCTCTGGTTGTCTAGCAAATCACAGTGAGAACAGGGAGTTGTAGGAGCTCCAAAACAATGACAGTGCTGATTAAAAACAAAATAAACTAAGAATGAAGGGAATGAAGCTGTTGTAGAATTAAAAAGACATAACAAATAGAGCAACAAAACCTGTAAGTTGACTTTGGCAATCAGGGACTTGACTTACTAGAGCCAGCAACCTTCACCAGGCAATCCAAAAGACCATAGGCAAAATTCTGGAATCTTCCTGGCCAGGGCTCTTGCCAGTCATCTACTTGACAGTTCCAAGGCATTTCTCATACCCATCCCAAGCTCAGTAATACTCACCTCTTCAGAGTCACACTGTCTTCTCACTAGCAGGTTCCACACACTGAGTCCACACTCTCATCAAGTTTGATTTCACTGTTAAGTCAACAATGCACCTGCCAAGCTCAGAAAGTGTTTGTCCTTTGCTATGCACAGGATAGCCACACTTGCAATTTTCCAAGAACATCAAGTTGACAGGATTTCAGATTATTGGAGGAAGTGGCCATTTGCTAATTTCAGTTGATAAATGTAACAGATGATAACCCTTGCCCACCCAGGGCCCTCAGGCTTCCTTGCCCCTCACACACACAACCCCTGAAGTAGAGGGGAGGGGGTCTAACATGCCCACCAAACAGATGAAAATTCTGAGTCTCAGAGAGGTTCAAAACTTGTCCTCTCAAGGTCACACTTGATATGAGCTGTAAAGAGGGTAGAAAACCCTGTGGCATATTCCATTTTCTCACTATATTTTTACTGGTCCTCTCACACCTCATCTTACATGTGTCACTGTCCAAGATTCAGCAACAATTCTGGTACAGATTTATTTTCTACCTAGAATGAGGGATGTGCTAAATTTTAGGAATGACACTATTCTGATTTAAGTAGTCAAGACTGAGCCCATTGAAGCATCTAACTAGTAAGGATATCCTGAGTGGGCACTGAAAGATCACAGGGATCAGGGATGTCATACCTCAAATATAATCAGCAAGTAGACCCCCGTGAGGATGGCCGCTGCGATGGTCACTTGAGCTTCTGCGCTCACGCGGAGGTACTGATGAGCCAGCAAGAGAGGAACGAGCTGGGTCTGCTGGAGGGAGGCCTGGATGCTGATGGAAACAGCCTCCCTGCAGAATGAAGCAAAGACCTTGAGACTAGCCAGAGAACTATGAGCATGCAATGTCCTTCCCTCAGTGTCCTTTCCAGCCCAAGTCAGCATGGCTGGAACCAGATCCAAATGGATCCTAGACTGATTCAGCCTGGCACCTGACCTCACAAATGGAGGAACACTAAGCACACATTAGGGCCAAAACTGATCAGCCTTTTTGGGCCAATCAGCAAGGGCTCCTCAGCCCAAGGGCCATATGCCTGTAGACTCCTCTCCAGCAATCAGCAAGGAACCACAGCCTGCAGGGTTAACTGAGCCACCTACCTCTTACTCTGCTCACCAACACCTACCTGACAACTTTACCTGCTAACAGGCAGCAACACTGACCATTTAAACTTCCATTCCTGAGAGTGGGTAAGCACCACAAACAAGAAGATTGTGAATAATCAAATGTGGCAAGGTTAGCCAATGGGCCTAATAGTGTTCGCCAAATTCATTTGCTGAAGTTCTGACCCCCCAGCACCTCAGAATGTGACTGTATTTAGAGGCAATCCTTGTTGAGAACTTTAAAGAGGTTATTAAATTTAAAAGAAGGGCTGGGGATTTAGCTCAGTGGAAGAGCGCTTGCCTGGCAAGTGCAAGGTCCTGAGTTTGGTCCCCAGCACCGAAAAAAAAAAATTTAAAAGAGATCATTAGGGTAGAATAGGCCCTAATTCAGCAGAACTGAATTATGAGAGATAAAGACACAGACACAAGGGAAGACACAGTAAGAAGGCAACCATCTGTAAGCCATAAGGAGAGTCCTCAGGAGAAACTAACCCTGTCAAGACATTGATCTTGGATCAAGCACAATGGCTCACACTTTTAATCTCAGCTACTTGGAAGCAGAGATCAGGAGGATCACAATTTAAGGCTAGTCAGGGCAAAAAAGTTGGTGAGACCCCTCCCCATCTCAACCAACAAGCCAGGTATTGTGGCATATGCAAGTAATTCCAGCTATGGGGGAGGCATAGGTAGGAGGAACACAGACCTAGGTTGCTTTCTGCTGGAGCAGAATTCAAGACCTTATCTGAAAAATAAGTAAAAGCAAAAAGGCTGGAGGTGTGGCTCAAGTGGTAGGGCCCTGAGTTCAAACCCCAGTGCTTCCAAAGAGAAAGAGAGACAACTGGATTTCTAGTGTCTGTAATTGTAAGAAAATAAATATCTAATGTTTAAGTTCCCTCCCCACGCCAGCCTTTGCCTTTTATTATGATAGCTGTGGGTGACTCACACAGTGACCATGAGTACAGACTGAAGATGAAGTGGCATTAATTTAAAGAAAAAGCAAAAGAATCCTAAAATTTCCTAGAATCCCCGTTGTACACCTTCATAATGTTAACAAAATTAGAATTGACTAAAAGATACCTTCTGCTTCAAAGTGGATCCTTTGTCAATCCTCCCACAGCCTTTGTTATCATTTACACTGCATCAGAGCCTTATCCAAGACACCTAACTCATCTGGCACTAGTTGTGATAAAGTTTAGTGTCCCATAGATCAAACTTCTTTAGGCAACTACCTATAGTTTGACTGTGTCCTCCCCCTACAAAGCTCATATGTTAGAAACTTCATCCCCAAATTCCTGTATTGATGGTATTTGGAAGTGAGACTTTGGGAGGTAATCAGGATAGGGCAGGGCCATATGGTGGCATCAGTGGCTTTACAAAAAAGAGAAAAAGGCCTGAGCCAGCAGGCTTGCTCCATCTCACCATGTTGTCACCCTCCACCATGTCAGGGTGTTGCAAGATAGCCTCACCAGATCCCACACAGATGTGGGCACCATGGTCTCAGACTTCCCAGCTTCTGGAACAGTTAGCCAAATAAACTTCTAGTCTTTATAAGTCACCCAGTCTCAGATATTCTGTTGCAGTAACAGAAAACAGACTAAGACAGTGAACTTGCCCCAGGGAGTCTGCCCCAAGGCCTCATCCACCTGAGAACCCACCTGCTCATTATCTCAAAGGTCCTGCTCACCACCGAGTGCTCACTTCTTGGATTTAAAAGTACAGTCCAATTTTCGGTGACCTGTAGAAGCCAAAGTATAAAATCATAATTAAGACTTTCACCTGGGATCTGGTGCCAGAATTTAGAAATCTGTTTAGAATATGAAAAAGAGAAGAAGAACAAAGCATTTTCGTCTGAGGTCCATGTCCCTGATGTTAGGAGCTTGTCAGGTTGTTTAGGAATGTCTACCACTCAAAGGGCATTAAGAAGAAAAAGCACAATATGGGGTTTCTTTTTGGAGTGATTAAAACATTCTATAATTTAAAAAATACAAAAGTACAGCTACAGAATTAGTATGCAAAAGTCCACAAAGCATAACTATAGTATCTGCATGGAACTTCCAGAACCCCAAGGTTACCAAAGCCCACAAGGTTCAGCATCCTTCTACTGAATGTTGTAGTTTTCACGTATAACCTACACCTTCCTTCCTTGTACCTTCAATTATCTCCAGATTACTTTTGATACCTAATGCAATGCAAATGCTATGCGAGTAGTGGTTACTCTGTTTTACTCACAGAACAACCAAAAGGAAAAAGTATGTACATATTCAGTACAGACACTTTTTTTTTTTACAAATACCTTCGGGCTGCAGTAGGTTGAATCCTTGGATATGGAAGCTATGGCTAAGGAAGGCTGACTATACTGACTTAATCTGAGAAAGTTATTGGAGGGTTAGACATGTCTTCTGTGTCCGCTGAGGCAATTTATAAGAAATGCTTCTTAGAGTGCTTCCTGCTTATAGGCAGGAGGCAAAAGACCATCCCAGAAAGTTCTCCACCACCTCTCCTGCACCACATCAGCAAGGGAGCCAGAGATGGGTCTTCATCTTCTGCAGACAAAGCCACCCTACACATTCTTGTCCCCAGAGGACAGGGGTGGGGAGGACTGATGCAGAACATAGGGCAGCCCAGCTGACCAGACCTTCCACAGGAAGACAGGAGTCACACCTGCACATTACAAAGGAAAATGAAAATAGGAACTCTGAAATTGGTGGAAGCAGAAAAATAAATACATGAGAGAAGAGAAATTCTCTTAAACATTAAGGTATTTGGAAAGAGCGTATTTGGGGAAAAAATGCTTTATCAAAGCTCTTGTGTTCTTTGTGTTTCTAGAGCTGGCTTTGTATGTGGGTATTTGGGAAATGTCAACATAGCTGATTTAATTTGGGTCATAAACGTGCATGGCCGAGAAGGTGGCTGGACAGCAGGCATTAGTTCTACAGATCTGTAACACAGGATAACCACAGTCACAATGCATGATATATTCCAAAATAACTAGAAGAGTCTGAAGCTTCCCAACACATTAAAATGCCAAATGTTTGAGGAGAAAGAAATATTAATTACCCTGATTTGATCTTACACATTATATACTATGTATCAAGCTATTGCACTGTACCTCATAAATATGTAAAAGTGTTATGTTAATTTAAGAATTTTAAGGCTGGACATGGTGGCTCATACCTGTAGTCTCAACTACTTGGGAAGCAAACATCCGGAGGACTACAGTTTGAGGATGGTCTGTGCAAAAAGTTTGCAAGACCCCCATCTCAACCAATGGTTGGGCTCAATGGCAAGTACCTGTCACCCTTGCTACTTGGGGAAGCACAAACAGGACCATGGTCCAGGTTGGCCTGGGGGAAAAGTGAGACCCTATCTCAAAAATAACCCATACAAAAAGGCCTGGTGGAGTGGCTCAAGTGATAGAGCACCTGCCTAGCAAGGGCAAGACCCTGAATTTAAACCCCAGTATCACAAAAAATATTTTAAAGGAGTAACATGTCCTCTGCATAAGGATCACTGACCAACACAAGGTAGACAAGCTTGTCCTTTACTAATGAGCTCCTTGCAGTGGGCAGTGCACTTCACAGGGAAGAACCATTCTGAAAGGATGGCGGGGTGACTGGTTTAGAATGTGGGTGCTGCATCAGCCACTGACCAGGAAAGTGCATCTTTGCTCGTAATTAGATCACAATTGGAATGTGTTCTGCGTGGCAGGAAATATGAGTGATACAGCCTTGCAACAAGCACAGTTTTATTCTACTGGTTGGTTATCACAAGGGACTCATGAGCCAGGGGTCTGACTTATATGCCGGAGTCTCTGTGACAATCTGGTGGAGTCACTGACACCAGAACTCAGAGTATGAGTCAGATTGCATGCCCTGGAGGCCTAGGCTCTGGGCCACATGACACCCAACTGGTGCTGGCTCTCCTTCCGTGTACAGGCTGCTTCACAGAATGTGAGCTGGAGACAAGGCCCTGCACGGCTTATGGATATAGATGCAGAAGCTTGGGGAACCTGTGTGGCCTTACCGATTATCACAAACACAAGGCAGTTGTGTGTGTACATCGGCTTGTCTTCTGTACCATGAGGTAGGGCCATACTGAATTGTACTTTACTACAAAAATTACTTTCAATAAATAACACTTCCCTGAATAACCCAGTAAACTGGCTCTGAATGAAGAACTCACATGTCTGATTTTACTGAAATGGCAAGAGTTTTACAAATCATTTAGAGAAATGGGAAAACGGGAATGTCAAAAAGTGAAAGATAAGCAACAATGGTTTGACTAGTAAAGATATGATTGCCTTGGGCTTCCCATCAAATCCACTCAAGAGGAAAGTCAATTTATAATGAGATGAAATGAGATTTTACAATTCCTTTCAAATAATATGTAAGTGTAACCTGCTGTGGCCGTCGCCACCTGGAGCCCAGGGCGTCCATCTGGGTCACCGTCACGACGACATGCTCTTCTCTCCCGGAATAGGGTGGTCCACCAGTCGCCAGGGACCCTGCCAGGTCCACCTGGAGCAGTGTTGAGTCCTCATGGCTGCTGAGGTTCACAGCTGAGAATGCATCAAGGTGAATGACAAAGCAAGGAGGAAAATCCTAATATCCCCCAACCGCCCCACCAGACAAATGCCCTGCTCAGAGAGTGCACAAAGAAATACATGTTTAGGCAGTTCCTCCAACTGCTCTATGCCCTGGACCACTTCTTGTCTCTTCAACCCCTCACTCTACACAAGAAATTGGTTCTGTATTGTTTCATCTTGTTTAACCCCCTCTGGTTAAACAAGAGACACCTGAATGGTGTCTCTCCAGTCCTCCTGACTGTCTTCTCTGATTCCACCTTTGCACCTATTGTAAAATTCCTCCCCAAGTTCATGGACCCAGTAGGCAGGATGCCTGCATGAATGAACAGGTGAACTAATCCACAACCATGCCCAAATCCTAAGGCACTGGGTCCTTGTTTCTAAGGTGAGAAATCACAAAAAGAATTGAAAGAAAGAATTCTGAAATTGGGGAAATCAATGATGTCCACAGTAGTATAAGGACAGACATTTTTTCAAAGTGTGTTGAAGGGATCTTGGTCAGGGAGGAGATATCAGGAAAAGAGGCTTGTCCTACCTGACAACATCCTCCCTTGGCACTTATTCCCCCATGGCAGCCCTTCCTCTTAGCTCCTATGTTCCAGTGTATACGCATTGTACAAATGGAGGTGCTCTTCAATCTCTATCTGCTCTAGGCTGACTCTCAGAACCTCCCATCCTTGCTGCAAGATCCTGGAGGGCACTGGGTGTCTAAGGCTGACAAGAACTCCCCACAGCAGCTAATCCAATCATTCTGACCCAGAAAACTGTCATTGGTGAACAAATAAATTCCATAATTTTTTGGGTTTCATATCAGGTCTCCAAAGTCTCTTAGCAGCAGTTCAGGTTTTAGAATGATTTGATAGCCAGTTCCTTTGTTCTCCCTTAAATCCCTAAAATGGTAGGGTTTTCATTTTCTTTTTCTTTTTCTTTTTTTTGTCTTTCTTTTTGATATACAATTTTTTATTGTTGTGCAGGATGGGGGTACATTGTGGCATTTACAAAGTTCTTACAATATCTCAAAGATACTTGAATTCACCCCTCCACCATTCTCCTTCATCCTCCCTTCCCCTATTCCTGGAGTAATTTCAACGAATATCATTTTTCCATTTACATATATGTGTACACTGTATTTGCACCATATTCACCCTCCTTCCCTTTTCCCCACTTCCTCCCCCTCCCACTGATACAACCCCCAGGCAAGACCTGTTCTGCCCCTTGTTCTCCAATTTTGTATAAGAAAAGAAAAGAATGACATTTTTAGTTGTTTAAAATAGCTACACAGGGAGTTTCCTTGTGACACTTCCCAATTGGTTCATCTCCTCTATTTTTCTTCTTTCTATCTTAGTCCCCTTCTTATGGTGATTTCAACAAGTTTAAAAATTCTATATTCATTCTTATATAGAGTACATCAACCATATTCACTTTCTTAACTTCTTTCTTTTACCCTTCCCCTCTCATATATGACTTCCCCTTAGTGTGATCTGTTTTCACAGTATTGCTGTATTTGTATTGGGTCTATATTCCATAAATGAGAGAAAACATGATTTTTGGCCTTCTGCACACAGCAGGTGGCTTATGAAAAGACTTAGGGGCAAGCAGAATGCTGCTGTTGCCCGTGTATCTACTGGATTGGCCACTGAGTACTAGAGAGGGTCGGTGAATGGTTCACTCTTTTCATTGTTGTGTTCCTCTGCAAAATGTACTGTCAAAAAAAGAGTACAAAAACATTCTGGTAAAGAAAGTGTTTTATCACCGAAGCCTTGTATGCACATATGAATAATAAAAGAAAAAAAAAGAAAAGAAAGTGTTTTATCAACCCGTGGTCTATGTAAGAATCCAGAACAGCTGTCCCAAGCACTCAGTATGTCCCTTCATTCATCTCGTCTGCTACTTGGGCCCCAAAAAGGACAAATGGAAAATAAAAGTTGCACATGGGCAGAATTTACAAGACCCAAGAGACTCTGCTGTTTCTGCCACACCTGAAATTATTTCTGTACTGGCCTTTCCCCCAGGGCAGACTAGCAAGAAATATCTTAACACAGAGTGGATTCTGAAGACCTTGCAGGCACCGGAAGGTGGAACAGCGCCATCTAGAGGTCACTCTCAGAGAACAGCCGACTTCTCTGCCCAGTACTGAAGACACTTAAATCTACTGCATATCAAAGTGAACTGATAAAACAAGTTCTACTGAACTGACAAATCTATGAACTGATACATCAAGCTCTAGTAGGAAGATGACCAGGTAACATTAAAACACCCTACAATTAAACCACCAAACAGAGTGCACAAAAATCCAACAGCCAGGAGCCCTGTAACCATTCTTTCCTCTCATCCTTCCCGACCCCACCCTGAGATTCTGGTGTTTAGAAGTGACTCCCAGACCCTAGCAAATAGGACCCTGGGGGTCAAGCTTCACATGTGCTTTACAGCCATGCTGAGCTGTCCACCAGTATCCTAACTCACAGTTCCAGGTTTCCCTCTGTCCTGGTGACTCTGTCCCAGATCAGAGGATGAAGTAGTTATTCACGCAGTTTGTTTTAGATTCCTCTCCCAACTGACCTAGCTCCTCAAGCAAAGAAACTACATCTTACTCATTTTTTGACTTCTCTAAAGAGTAATGGGGTTCTTGCATCATTAACTGTCCCTAATCAATCTTTGGTTAACTAATAAATGTTTGTTTACAATACCATCCTTGAAGTTCTCTGAACCTAGACCAAGGGTCCCAGACAGATGGGGATGTGGAGAAGAGAAGACAGAGAGAGACTTCTTCTGTTCTCTGGTGCATCATTTACAATCTTTCTGCTTTGTCCATTACCTGAATTTAAGCCTTACTTATTATCTAAGACCTAAGTCATCACTCCCTCCATGAATTTTTCTCTGTCTCTGAGTCCCCAGACCCCTCCACCTGCCTCTCTCTGTTGTCTTTTCAAAGGCAGGTCCCAACTCCTCTGCTCTGCTGCCAACTGTTCTGGTGCAAGTAACTGTCCTGGGACCCCTCACATGGTGATGAGGAGACAAGAACAGAATGCTTCTGAACAGCAGGCAGTGTACAAGCTGAGAGCCTGAAGAAGGGCCTTTGTCCATACCTAAACTGTAGAGGCCGTGGAGGCTTACCTTTCAGTTTGCCACAGAGTCATCAAACCTCCAGCTCAGTTATACCAGGCAAGGATTCCCATCCTGGTCAAACTTTAGTCAGCCTCCTCTTTTCTGAGCCTTGATCTTGGCCTCATCCTTGACCTGCTGAGCCTAATTTTAGCTAAAAATCCTCCACCCTTAATACCCAGTCAAGTTCCTCTCCATCCCTTGTAATAGTTAACTTGGGGCCAATTTGACTAGACCACAGGATGCTCAGATCTTTGGTTAACCCTTATTTGTGGGTGTGTCTGCAAGAGTGTTTCTGAAAGAGATTAGCATTTAAACTGGTCAACTGAGTAAAGTTGAGCAGCCCTCCCATATGCAAGCATCATCCTATCCCTTGAGGGCCCAGATAGAACAAAAGGTGGCAGAAGGGTGGATGTGCTCTCTCTCTGCTTTACTGTGATCTGCTCATGGTCTTCTGCTTTAGGCTTTTCCCAGTTCTCAGGCCTTTAGACTCAGACTGGAATCTACACCACTAGCTCTCCAGCACTCAGGACCAAAAGCTACACCACAGGCTTCCCTGGGTCTCCAGCTTACAGAGGACAAATGGTGGACTTCTCAGCCTCTACAGTCATGTTGTAAGGGGAGCAATGACAGAGGTGACTCCATTTTGGATGAGAGAGACGATTTAAAAGCAGACATCTAAAGAGGCATGGGAAACAACAGGCTTCTCAGAGAAATGACAAGCCTCTCACCAAAATCACAAGATGCAGCTGCCCCAAGGCCAGGACAAGCTGACCAGACCCTCCTGGAATGTCCAGTTCGATAAGGAGAGGGACAAATAAGTGGTTGGATTAAATGAGAAGTTGACTAGACATCAATCTATCACAAATATAGTTTCAAGGTAAAATAGTTGGACCTAAGCCAGCTAATACCCTGTATCATCTCCTAGACTTCAGCCATTCTTTGGCTTAACTCCTTCAATAAGTCCCGCCCGTCAGAGTGCTTGGCTATCCTTCCAATAAACTCTACTTGCTTTAACTCTTAACTCCTAGTCCAGAATCTTCAATCATCGACTATGTCAGGATACAAACTCGGGATCAACAATCCAGTATCAATGTGAGCCAATACTTTCTAATGAATCTCCTTATAGATTTTTATTATTCTTTTGTTAATCTGTTTTCTGTCAGTGTAATTTATAAGGCCCCAGTTGAAGAGCCTAGGAGGGTAACAGGGAAGCTTTTTTTTCCTCCCCTATACTGTGCATATTGTTTCCTTTACATTCTCTGAGAGAACTGGCTATAGCTCAGGGTGTGATGGGGAGAAGAGAGAGGGAGGACGGGAGGGAGAGAGAAAGGGAGAAAAAGGAGGAAGAAGGGAGGGAAAGGAAGAAGTGCTGAAAAAGAAGGGTGGAGAAAGGGAGGTCAGGAGTGGGGGCAAACCTAATTAACTGCATGTAAAGTTTCCTGGCCTCTACTTACTTGCCTTTGACAGATCTCCCCCATAACAAGCACAGACAATTCAGGGACAAAGAACTTCAGGTGCCTGCAATTACAGGTTTCTAAAATAAACCCTGTAATTACTGAGCTGACACAGGCTGACTGTCACAAGGATATATAGAAATTCAAGGGAAAGGCAGCTTTGTTATCTCCCAACTAAAGAAGAGTGAGGCTTTCTCCAAAATCCCTTCCCCTAACAGCAGACCCCCAGTGCCCTCTCCCAGGCCCCTGTCACAGCAGAACCCCAGTGTCCTTTACCAAGGCCCCATGCAGGGGGCCAGCCAGAGGTCAGGAAGTAAGGAGTCAGATGACAACCACGAGGATGCTGCTGTTGGCCTTTCGAAATCAGCTGTGATCACTGGCTACCCCAAGTCTGAGAACTGAGAACTGTCCTCAAAAGCCCTAGTCCCTTCTGAAATCCCAGCAGCACTTTGCTTTCTATGGCAGCCAAGAGCCCTAGATACCTGACTCCCCAACTGGCTCCCACCTCCTCCCCAGGCTGACCAACACCAGCAGCTTTCACAAACCCCAACTGTGGATTCCTAGCCCAAGGTCTTGAGAAGGGTCCCTGAGCATCCAGAAATCCATAGAAAACCTCTGGTAACATGGTACATTTTTCTGAGGAGCCCATGGGGAGTTCGAATCAGCCCTAATAGAGGATGATGCTCCACACACCTGAAGAACCCACTGTAGTATCCTCCTTCCATCTTTTCTTTCTCCTTTCATCCAAACATACACACAAAGCCACTGGGGGAGCAGGAAAGAGAGCTCCTTGGTTATCCCTAATGTCAAAAAAGATGGACTTCCTGGACTAGACTCAGGCCACTAGACACTAGGCAGGGCCTGACAAGTGCTCAAGAAGGCTGCTCAAGGAAGAACTTTGCAAAACTGCTTTAGAACTGAAGTGACAGACTGAAGCACGGTGGGCTGAATAGGCTCTTACTTGTTAGGATCTCATCTCCTCATCCTAACCTGTGGATGCTTCCAGTGATAAGGCTGTTGGGCTTGGTGTTTACCAGGCAGAATGCTGAAAGTGTCCCGTCATAATCCTTCCTGACACCTCTCTGCCTGGATCTCACTGAAGACTGTCTGGACAGGACCCAGCTTCTTCCTTCAGGTTCTTAGTAGGTTATAACCACCTGCAGTGAAGTCACCCAAAAGGAAAGCAGCACCCACATTTGGGGAACATGATGAAGCCAGCTTTGAGGAGGCCCCAGGAAAAGGTAGGAGTCTTGGTTTTTTCAATCACAGAAGTGATACAGGGGTTAAGGGATGAGAATGAGAAACAAAGTTTGTCAAACTCATAGAGCTATTCAGTACTCTCCCAGAGAGAGACCAAAGCTCAGGCACAATTTAGCAGTGGTAAAGAATGTACAAAGGTATATGTGAGTGCTCAGTTGGACAGGGTGGCTCTGTGGTAGGCACTTCTGTTCATTGAGGCAGATGCACTGTGACCCTGGCTCCATGGGTTCATTTGAAGACCTTGAGTGCCCTTCTAGAAGGCTCCTGGTACCCTATGTGTGGAGGCAGCTCAGCTGAAGAACAGTGTCCTAGAAGGATGAATGTCACCCCAGAAGGACTTGAGAAACAAGACTATGTTGTCAGATGGGTGATTGCAAGGAAAATGACCAAATTTTCAAAAATTTCAGTTCACCAAGATAATGAACCAAAGATATTAAGCAAGATATTTAGCTCCCTAAATGTATTAATTCCTTTTTAAAACATAATACAGTAGTTCCCCTTATTGGGGCGGGAGGGGGGGGAATGCTCCAAGACCTTCAGTGGAGCCTGAAACCACAGATAGTGCTGATTACTATATATTTTTGTCAACAACTTTCACCTTTTTCTGGGGGCATGGCTCAGTGATAGAATGCCTTCCTAGCAAATGGGAGACCCTTAGTTCAAACCCCAGTACCACCAAGAAAATTATTAACTTCCACCTTTTCACTTACAGGAAGCACCTAACAGCTTCTCTTTGGCATACCCAAACTGCCAGCATCAGTACCCCTGTACCTTAAGACCATTATTAAGTAAAATAAGGGGTACTTGAGTGCAAGCTATGATGCCATAATGGTCTATATTGGACTGTCATAATGGACTGATATGGCTACAAAGCGACAAACAGGAAGGTAGTTTATATGGCATGGATGTGCTGGACAAATGGGTGATTCACATCCAGGTAGGATGAAGTAGGACTGCTGCTTGAAATTTCATCACACTAGTCAGAAGAACATGGAACTTAAATTTTTATGAATTGTTTAAATGCGTGTAAATTTTTAATTTAACACTTTTGGAACATAATTGACTGTGTGCAACTGAAACCATGGAAGGGGAGACTGTAGATGAGGTAGGATTACTATAATCAGAAATACCTGACCTGTCCAAAGCTTCCTCTTTTTCCCCTTCTTTCTCCCCCACTTCCCCCACACCATGTTCCTTTCCAGGAAGTACCACTTCCCAGGACTCACCAGACTCCCACTGAGCCCCACTGGGGGTTTTAGGGACTCCCATCTCAGACATTTAATCTAAATGTCCATTCTAAAGGAAGTTCTGAACTTCCAGTCTCTACTGGAATTTGTAGAGAATGGGAAAAGCACCATCCTCACCCTTTCTACAAGCAACGGCTGGACAAAAGTGAGTGATACCCTTATTCCTTCATCCAAAATGAGCTTTCAGGGTGAACAATGAACGTGAAATGTAGAGCAAGACAGGCAACTTTAGAAAGATACAGGGCCAGACTCTGTTTTCCCAGCACAGGGACTATCATCACATTATAGAAACAGGCAAGAATAAGCCAGAAAATTTAAAAGCTGCTCAAGGTCAAGTGAGCCAGAGTGAGAGTGGAAAGTCCTAGGACTCACAGGTAGGGATGTTTGCATCTTCTTTGAGGCTTTTCCTCCAAGAACACCATCACCTGCCCACAAGGAAGACAAGACTGGAAAGGGTCTTGTAAAGAGTCCTCCTATGTTGCCAGCTGGGAGGAGACAACAGCCACTGCCAAACTCCACCTACACTACCTTCTCTCTCTCCCCTAAGATGCAAAATCCTTTATTTGCTTGGGAAGTGCATCAAGTCTGGTAGTTGAAAGTTCAGTGGAACCCTGCAGCTGGGAGGGTAAGAGGGAAAAGCAGCTCTACCCCATTGAAGGTGTGGGAACAGGGCAAAGCTGAATGGACAACTAGCAGGAAACCCATTAATTCCCAGTGTCCAGTGTACCCAGTTACCATAACAACCACAAACCTCAACCTAGGTGACTTCTGACTAGATTTACGTAAACTCTCTAATAGAAGTTAAAGGTGTGGCTCCTCTCCAAACTTAAGAACTATTGATGTCAGTATTGACCATCAGATAAAAGGTGTCTGGCTCTCAACAGAAATTCCAAGATATTCAAAAAAGCAAGAGAAAACACAGTATGAAGAGACAAAGCCATCATCAAAACCAGGAGACACAGGAAAGGAAAGAACCAGTGAAGCTGAGAACAAGACAATAGGAATGACTGGTGCTGAATGCATGATGCAGTAGTGGGGTGGGGCACAGAACAGAGTATCCAAGAGCCACAGGGAAGCCAAACTGGAATGTGCCACTCTGGGGTTGTCACCCCTCCATGGTGAGCTTTGCCACCAACCACCCATCAGTTATATCCTGAAGAAACAGGAATGGTGATGGTCTTCTGTGACAGCTGTAATAGTTCTTGAGAGATGTTTTGCCTTGCAAACTCAACAATGGGCAATTGACCATCTTGGTGTATAGCTTGGTGTATAGCTTGGATACAGTAGCTTTCCAGCGGTGACACAGCCAACAACTGCCAGAACTTTCCTTGATCTGGATACCAGCTGAATAAAATCTGTAACAATCAGAAACATCTAATGACAGACATGTGATATGAAAGCAATAAGATTTAAATAATTTTGATTATCATTAAAAATAGAGATATGATGCTTGTGTGATTGATGCATCCAAATTTCACCAGCTTGCTTGAATAGCTTTTTCTTGGATATGAAAATATTCTGACTCATTATACTATGTTCAGCTACAATGGACCTTGATTGTTGATATTTGCCAGTTTTAAGGATTAAATACCCAGCCACAAAATTAAATTGTCAAAGATTGATAAATGTGGTTTTCCCATATGGACAGCAGAGTAATACACCCTCTGTGACAGTGGTGACTGTTTTGAGAAATTCATAAAGAACCTTATGTACTATCAAAAAGTAATGTGATGTCATGATGACACATTTAAGTTGAAAACACATTCCTCAAATTCTATTTTGGATGTGTCTGTAAGTCACAAAAACTCTATCTGAAGGCTGAAGACTAGACGCCAAGCTCAAGTTGGCTACTGGGACCAAGGGAGACCTGGCCAACCATGGCCTCCCCCTTGACATCCCAGCACACTCCCTAAGGCCCAGATGAGCAGTGTGTGAGTAGGAAGTATAGGGGCATATTAATAGAAAAAAAATAAAACTAGAATTTTCAGAGTTCAGGATGGTTGTTTTTATTTTATCCATAGGTTTCCTATCTCTAGACCACTGCTCTCCTTCCTTTTGGGTTTTAGGAATTGATTGTACTCACATCATCCTAGCATCTACATGTCATTTCCAAGAGCAACAGATTCTTAGTCCAGCCTACACTCAGACCCGCATTGACACTGCCAAGGACAGGCTTCCCTTGCCACCCCAGCCTGCCACCCCGATGCATCCACAGCACCTCCTTCAAAGAAAGGTCAGAGACTAAGACGAAGAGGGCCAAATGGTGTACCCTACACCTCAGATCCCCCTTCCAAGGCATCTGGGAGGCTACGTCCACCCAGAGAGGCCACAGTGCCTCCACTGAGCCAACAGCAGTACAGGGGGCAGTCACAATACTCACGGAGCACACCACCACAAAGACAAAGAGGCCCATGACTTTCAGCCACTGCACACAGCACCTGTAAGAGAAAAGGTGGGTCCTGAGTCACATAAGGCATGTGCCCATACCTGCCAAACCTCAGGCACCTTTCTGTCCATAAAATGTTGTGAAGGACTCTTTCACTGGCCATTAGGCCAGTGAAGACTGTCTCTTCAAAAGAAGCTTGGTGGAAGTACAGAGAAAAACAATGTTAACCCTGCCAGGAAGCTAAAGTTCACAATTTGGGGCTCTGTGCTAGCCTTTAAAGGCTCTAGTTTAGAGGGAAGCAAGTGAATTGAATGTGTTACTTTGGCTTTCCAATTTACATTTACCAATTATTTTCCCATAAATTTTCTGTAAGGTAGATGAACAGCATTCACTGCTACAACAAAATACCTGAGATAAACAACCTAAAGAGGGAAACATTTATTTTGGTTCATGTCTTCAGAGGTTCCAATTTATGGTCACTTGGTTCCATTGCTTCTGGACCATGGTAAGCAAGCATATCATGGTGGGGAGCACTTTGTATAGCAAAGCTGATCACCTCATGGTGGCCATAGCGCAGAGACAGAGGGCAAGACAGGAAAGGGCCAGGACAAGACATAGTTCCCAATGACACACACCCCCAAAGATCCACTCCCTTCAACTAGGTCCATCACCTCCCAATAGCCCATCAAATTTTAAGGCCATCAATGAATTAATCCACTGATAGTGAGGTCAGAGCCCTCATGATCAAAGCACTTCCAGAACCAACATTGCTACCTTGAGGACCAAGCCTTCAACATATGAGTCTTTGGGGGACATTCCAGGTCCAAACTATAAATAGATTTATTGTCAAGTATAAAAACAAATAATTCATGGAACTCGGGAGAGGGAAAAAAGGAAAAGAGAATGATAGGGAGTCAACAATATTGAAATCATTATATCTCTACAGGTAGAGGACATAAAGATATGTACTAAGAGCTGTTGAGTAATGGGGGGTAAGAGGAAAGAACTAAAAGAAAGTAACAGAGGGGGGTTGAACTAATGAAAGTTAACTATATTCACAGCTGGGATACATAGAGAAACCCCTTTCAACATTAACTTTGGAATTAAAAATTAAAGATAGGACTGTATAGTAGGGGGGTACTGGTGGGAGTGGGAAGAGTGGATGAAGGAGATGAAAATAGAGAATATGGTTGATGCAATCCATATACATACATGCAATAGAGTGATGAAACCTCTTACAATTGTTTTAAGTGGGGTGGGGAGGAGGTTTGGAGAGGAGGGATGATGGGGGTGATCTAACAAATAATGTAAGGTTATTGGGAATTGGTACAATGAATCCCGCCTATACAATGAATATATGCTAATAAAAATGAAAAGAAAGTGCTAGTCAAGTTTTTAAAAATCAAGAAAGGAACTGCAAAGCTGTGATTAGTTTTACCAGCAGTCTTTTAAGAGTTACCTAGGAAATAACTTAACAGATAATCAGGATTCATACTCAGGTCAGGCGCCACTGAGGACTTCCAAAGCTGTGCGTACCAACGTCTGAATTGTGACACCCAGGCCCTCCATAAACCTGGAAAACCCAGCCCTCCGCAGCCTCTGCAGCCTCACCAGCATCCTTGCAGCCCCCAGACTGGACTGTCCCACCAGGATACTCCCTGGCTATCTGGTCCTCTTCATCTCTGCTTATTCAACAGCCAGACCCCATTCTCAATGACATTGTCACTGCCCATTCCCAGGGTACACTCTTTCTGACATTTATGCTCTGGGGTGTTTTTGCTCTGACTCTACACATTGATACATAGCTCATACTTAATATGCATTTATGGGATGAAGCCAGAAAGTCTATGTTGGAACAACCTTTTTATTACTAAATTTACTTAGTTAAGTTCCATATGTCTTTGCAAACCTTTCTGGCCCTTTGAAAATGCTAAAACCTTATTTTGCATTCTCTTAGACTTAATGAATTTAATGAACAATCATTTTACACTTCCAAATTATGATTCAACAGCTCCTACTTAAATGGGAATCAAAATGACACTTCTTTTTAAAGCATGAAGCATTAATTGAGTTATTCTAGATTTTTTTTTTTTACCTAACTGACATATACAGCAGACCTGACAATTCAGAATAAAATATTTTTTCCAAGTTTCTTCACTTATCATGCCTGGTACTTTTCTAGACATGTTGATAGCAGCTAGGGAGGTACGTTCAGAGATAATAACCTATGCTTACAGAAAACAGCCGCTACCCCTTTAAATGACTGTAAAGGTGCCTCTAAGGAACTAACCAATCACAGAGCATTCTGACCACCCACCTGTTCAGGTGACTCAGAGTAAACCTAGCTCCTTCTGATACTCAGTTCTCTGTCCAGAGGTGTTCCTGTACACAGTGTTTTGAACATGTGGTATTTGAAGAAACATGATGTTGAAGTGAATGTGCTCAAGAAAGTGCTCAACTCTACAGTGACAAGGAGTCTGTCCTGTATGAATATTTTATTGAGACTCTTTAATAAAAGCCCCTTGCTTTATTTGGTGAGAGAGACACTGTTTAGGGACTTATGCCCAGAGCTCTCCTAACGTTGCAAGTAATAAACCTTGCTTTTCTTCACTCTTTTATCTCCTGGGTGTGCTTATTGACTTTGTACTCACAAAGAAGTGAACCCGCTGTGTTCAGTGAATGTTACAAAAAATGACAGTAACATCCTTCAGTTCAGTGAAAGCACAAGGCAATGTCCCATGAATCAGAGAAGACAAAACACTGACTATGAAGGTTCAAAGGTACCGGATTCAACTTTTCCACATTGTGGGAAAGCTCTGAAGCTATTAACCAGAGGCTGGGGAAAGGTGTTTACAGTTAACCCTTCCAATCACCCATTCACATAATTTCATGATTCACATCTTCAAAGCAACTCCATGAGCCAAATATTTATTGCACCTATGAGGAGAACTGAGAACAGTCATGGTGCAGAAGCTACAGATGAGAAGAGACAGCTCATGGTCAAGCAGGGGGAGAGGGGCTGGGGTCACATCCCTGCCCACCTTGGCTTCTAAACTGTGTAACCTTGGGCAAAATCCTTAGCCTCCTTGAGGCACCCTCTAATAACTTCCACCAGGATCAATAGGGTAACTGGTAATGGTCCCAGACAATCGCTGGGCTTTGAAGGTGGGCCTCTACCAGGCATAGGCAGGTGCACTTGGGGCCTACAGGTATATACATGGCAAATCAACCCTTCCATTATCTTCAGAAAGGACTGATCCACAAATAGCACTAATATTGGAGTTACATGTTACCTTCTCACTACCTAGGGCATGCACACATATGATCTTAGTGGAAGCCCATGGAAGGCCATGGAGGAGGGGACATTGGACCACAGGAGACAATTGAATGGCCACATGGCCCTGCTGCAGTTGCTCAGCCACTTCAGGGCAAATCCAGAATGGGCACCACTGTCCTGACTCCCAAGTCTTCTTCTGTCCCTGGATAATGCGACTTTCAAACACAATCGCAAAAGAATGCTTTTCTCCAAATAAATGTGTGCGGGGAAGAAAGTCCCACAGATAAACCAGGTAAAGGAAGATACTCATACAGGGGCAGCACTGTGTCTAGCCAAGTCCCCTCATCGTTCCCCTGCAGCTTGTCCCTAGCATGTGCAAGCCTTATGCTTGAGGCTCCCACAGTGCAGGCAGCCACTGCATCCTTCAGGCTGAGCCATGCACACATTCAGCCTTCATCAACAACTACAAAGACAGCATCAAATTCTAAAACACCATGGAGAGTCCTGAAAGGAGTGATTCTATTTGTAAACCTAATGGCCTCACAAGCAGGAATAAAGGGAGTATGAGAGGTGGGTCATTTAAGTTTGTCATCTGGCTTTCTTGCAGCCTCACCTAGTCCACACTGACTTTGCAGGACCACTCTAAATGTCTTCCAAGGCCTAGTGAAAGGTAGATAACCTTGAAGGAAAAGGTGCATCCTGACCAAATGTGAAAACTTTCATTCTACTCAAAACCCTGGTGATTTAGAAGTGAAGTGCGGGCAAGACCTTTGGCCTCATTCCAGGGCAAACAGGAAATAATGTGCAGCCCCACCCACTGCCAGACCCAGCACTCCACATCCACCTACCTCAACTTTGAAAAAGGGACTCTGACGTGGGCACTGTCCAGAAGTTCACCCTTCTCTGAGGAGGCAGATGTGGACAAAGCAGCTGTCCCTCTGCTCAGTAAGCATCTTCGCTCCCACTCAGCTGAGCCATTTTCCCAAGATTCTTCAGTGGTAAACTCTGGATGAAAAGGGGGCATGCACCAGGACCTGGAGAGCAAGAGTGGTTATATTTTCTGAAAGCACATCTCCAAAACAAGATTTCCGCTCAGTGATGAGTTGTGAAATGGTGTGGAAGCAATGCTGGTCTTTAAAAGTGTCACAGACAGTATGCCCCTCTCTCACACTGCTGGGAATGGGTGTTTCTTAATATCACAGGACACCTGACTCAAAGGAAGCCTCTTGAGGTCACTCAAATCTTCAAAATAAATTGTGGGCCTCCAGTCTTTTCTGATTTAGGGAATCCTCCAACAGAGCTGCTCAAATCAGTTCCCACTCATTTCAGTATTTCTTTCTCTTTGAATGTGCTCAAGCCATCAATTGCTAACTCTGTTAGACCTGTCCTTGAAGCACAGTGAGTGGTGTAAGCTCTCCTCTTCTGTACATCTCTTTCTGAAATGGGGCTGAAGAAAAGGTGGTCTATCTGCTTCCCACACAGCGTCCAAAGAAGGTGAGCAGGAATAAGCAACATTAATGTCAACTTAGAGAAGTCCGAGAATGGGCTCCATTTTTAAAAGGACAAACCAACAGGGAATTGTAAACTTGTATCAAAATTACATGTGAACCTATCCATTTACTTTTGGCCAAATCCCTGGGCTTTTGAGAAATTCCCTCAGAATTACACTTGACATTTGAAAAGTGCTAAAAAAAAAAATAAAGAGTTTTCATGTGTTGCATGGAATATTCTTATGATCACAATATTGATATTAACAATAGCTGAGTCTGTTGTTATGTGTTAGAAACAAATAAGGCCACTTGAAACCAGCTAGTTCAACAGGCTATTAAGATTTTCCTGAATACTTATCACAACAAGAAAAAAAAATCTTACTTATAAGAAGAAGCCCAGAGACAGAAATTAGGTCATATAAAACCAGTATGTAGCAAGATAATAAATGACTTTGAAAATAGTCAATAATCTTTTCCATCAATTTTGTAGCTGGAAAATGCTCAGATGTATGAAAAAAATTCCGTCTTCCCTCCTAACTGTTGGAAATACACAAGCAGCAAAAATGGAGCTAAGAAATTGCTTTCTGAAGGAGAAAGAAGAAAGCAAGTTAGTCTCTATTCTCTCTACAGCAGGGCTGTGCATGAGAACTTTCTGTGGAGATACAAATGGTCTCTTCCCTATCTGCTCCAGTAGCCACATGAGCTATTGGGTATTTGAAATGTGCTAGTGCAATTGAATGAATTTTTAAATTTTAGTTCATTTTAATTAATTTAAATTTGAATAACTACATGTGGCTACCAGGCTGGAAAGTGCAAGTTTAGTATACACCTTGTGCCATTCCCTTCAACACCTTGAAAAGGACATATTTGTTTTAAAATATGTAATGGATTTTATCCTGATAAACAGATTAAAATAATTGATAATCAGATTAAAACTGCAACAAATTAAGTTGGTAAAAGTAAAGCACCATAAAGATCTCCTTACCACCAATACCTTTGTTCATTTCCTACTGAAAAGAAAAATATTTTGAAATCAAAGCTGGTCAGAATTCTGTCCTCTGGCATGAAACCCAGCTGACACCCTAGATCATGGCTCTGTACTACTACATGCCCAGGTTTCTCAGTGAATTGTTGAGTTCTAAGATGTGTCAGGCCTTAACAGTTTACCAAGTAATTCAAGAGAAAGCATTAAGGGAATAGATGTGTGAAGTGTTTATTTTCAAAGTTATTGACCAGGAGAGATGAGGGAGAATGAATTTATTCCTCCATAAAGAAGCTTTAAGTAGACAAGTCAGTGAAAATGCCTCTGCATACATTCCTCACTCATCCAGTCACTGAGGGCCTGGTGGCAGGGGCTATACTAGGCATTGAGGCAGGATGAAGAGCAAAGACTTTCAGATGTAACCACAGAAAACAGAAGGGCAAGTTCAGAAGTAAGAGCATGAATATGGTATTTGAAAGCACAAGAAAAAACCACTGACTCTTTGGTGGGGGGACTAAAGCTTCACAAACAAAGTGACATTTGAGCCCCCTTGAACATGAGTGGGACTGCCCTCAAGTGCTAGAGATGGAAGGAAGTTCCTATAATCAAAAGACTTGGTAAGAACTTCAGAGAGACACAGCTTGTCATCAGATATCTCCTGGAGAGTCAGAAAGAACACCTCTGCACTTGGAGTAATAAATTCAGATTCCCATCCTGTGAACCTGACTGAATCTTTAGAGGCCAAACCCACAGAGTATAGCAGCACTTCAAGTGTGAAGGTCATCTACAGCCCCATCTGAAGCCAGGGCTAGAAAGAGTAGGCAGCTAGTTTCAGAAGCAGATGAAGGAGACATGGCAGGCCACCTGTTGATACAGGTGCACATGGTCAATGATTGGCTCCATGATAATGTCACCAAGTTTTTAATGTGCAGGACATCAGTGGACAATGAGCAGGTGAATTGACTTCATTAAGTTTGTTTGCAGAAAGAAGAGGGGATGAAGCTAAAGACTTAGCTAAGTCCTTCAAGAAGTATCCTCCAGATCAGCTCTGTTCAAGCAATTCCAGAGCTAACAGATTTGTCCCAAAATGGACCATTACCTTTGTAGGAAATTGAGTTTTCTTATGAAACACACACACACACACACACACACACACACACACACACGGTTTCACTGCTATTCTTTTGAGCTGAATAATTCTTTGTGGTGAGAGCCACCCTGTGTATTGCAAAATATTTGGATTCTGCCATTAGACACTAATAACATCCCAGAACCCAGTATGGCAACCAAAAATGTCTCCAGGCAGTGCCAATCTGGCTGAGAAGCCCCAGCCACACAAACTGGATGCATGCATAGGTGTACACGTGTGCTAGGCAATCATTAGAGAATTATGCTCAAAGCCATCCGGAAATTCTTAAGTCATAGAATATACCCCCTAGATTCATGAACATCTACTACAGTGAATTAAGAATCTGGAAGAGATCAAACATGGCAGGAAGAAATTCTCCATCACAAATGCCACAGACAATACTCAAAAATTTCATGATTTCTGAAGAAGGAAAAAGAATCTCACCCCTTCTTTTGTGAGGAATTCCATAGCAAAGGAGTGTCTTCCATAAAGCAGGAGTCTTTGGAGCTGGAGATGAACTGAGGCAAAGGACAGTGAGACCTGGGAAAGAGGAAAGGAATGAGAATCGTCAACACAAAAATGACAGAGGTGCTCCCAGTTACTGGGTGTTTGATCCAACCACAAATGTGCCTGAGATTCAGGGATAAATTATACAGGCATATTTGACCAGAGTTCTATCTGAACTGTAAAACACTGGAGTTTAGATAATGAGGAAGATCCCTTCTCCCCAGCCTAAATCAGATCAAAAGTACAAAGCAGCTCAACCTGAGACCACATGCCATGGGAGCGAAACTCTTGGGCTCACTTTAGCAGACCACTTGGTACCACCTATGCCTTTCCACGCAGAGCTTTCCATCAACAAAAACATTCAGTCTAATGGGCCCTTTTACACACAGACAATTCTCTCTCTTGAGATCAGACTACATTCACATTTCAAATTACCTAATGGCTCCCACTGGAACAAGGAGCAGAAGTCAGGACAAGAGGTCAGAATGAAATGATAATCAGAATCATAGGGAAGGGACTATCAGGGGATAGCGCTCACAACTGAAGCAAAGCAAAGATCTGCCTCGGAGGAGGGATGTCCCTCTGCTCCCTGGCATCTCCACTGAAGGAAGGGCCACCATAAATAAATCATCCAGACCAACTTTTTAAATAACTGCACAACAAAGTGCACCAATGTGGACATACGATATTTAAAGCAACCTGTTTTTCATGAGAAGTTACAGGAAGTATTTTTATTCCTAATCGGTAGAAATGTGTCATTTTATACACTGGTACACTGCCTTTCTTAAAGGAGCCCAGACCATGGAGAGGTGTTGTGGGCACTGTGAAACAGTAATCTAGGAGATTAAGAGTAATTCTTTCAGGCCATAAATACACAATAAGAAAAGAAGTTTAAGAAAATTGTTTCACTTGCCTTCTCTTTCTTATGCACCTATGATATAGTCAAGAAGACTCTGGTCTTGTACATAAATGAAAACCAGGGCCCCTGAGCTGTGTTTAACAGCACCCACCATGACATGGAGATGTCAGAAAAGGAGTCAGATTGTGCCCAGCTTGTCCCCTGGGACACTTCCTATGAAGAACAACAGAGTCTTCAGAGGCTTTAACAGACAGTGGAGGAGAACACGGCATAGGGCAGAAGTATTAAGTAGATGTCTTAACTTTGGCAGATCAAGGTGAGGAAGAAAAAAATTCTGCTCAAGGGATTTACTAATTAGCATTCTTTGCAGCTCAAACTGGCTTAAACAATTAGTCCTACCCTCTACCTCATCTCTCATAACTGTAAATTCAAAAGAGCGTCAGATGCATTTAGGTACGTCAATCAATGATGCAACTACTATCCAGGTGTTTTCTGCTGCTCCATGAGATGGTGAGTTCACAATATTTTGAGGAGACATGACTGTTATGGGGACTTAGCACATCTTCCATTTTCTCAAGCATATAGTGTAGATGAAAAGAAAACCACACACACATACACATAAACAACACACAGTTTTGTTGCATTAAATAAGGAGATTTAAATGGAAAGCATAAAGATTATGCTTGGTTGTTGATGTCGTAATTTTCATTGACTATGAGCTCTTTATGAATGGCTACCATGTTGTTTTCATCTTGTTTTATCTAGTACCGGAAGTGGTACCCAGCTCAATGGAGATTCTTCAATACTTAATAATGAATGGGTTAGGCTCTAGTAATCATACTTATTTTTATGAGTTTGGCTTTTTGACTCAAACAAAACAGTTTTCTGAATCATTATAATGGTTTTAGAATCACCACTGACCCTCTGAAAAAACAGACAATGGTGAAGAAAATGGAGGTACTATTGCTCCCAGGAAATCCTAATCCATGGGGTCTCAGAGCAGTTCATGGTGGTACCACACTGCACAGTGCACAGGATTTACCTTTATACGATTGAAGAGG